GAGGTGCCTTTGGAGGTGGCTGTGGAGGTGCCGATGGCATCCTCCTGGCTGGCGAAAAGGAGACGATGCAGAACCTCAACGACCGCCTGGCTAACTACCTGGACAAAGTGCGTGCCCTGGAGGAGGCCAACACTGACCTGGAGGTCAAGATCAGGGAATGGTACAAGAAGCAGGCACCTGGTCCAGACCGCGACTACAGCCCCTACTACAGGACTATCGAGGAGCTCAGGAACAAGGTAGGATGCTGTGATTACCAAGACATCTTCATTAAAGTAACTTTTAAAAAGATGACCCTGTTCCTAAAAGCTGAAGGGAAGAGTATTAACAAATGACAGGTAATTGGTCTGAGATGGGAAAACAGAAGGAGCATTCTTGAAAATAATAGTCATAATTCATGAAGAGCAGTTTCTTGATCATGTCCTCCACGAGGCACGAGGATGGGTTTTCTATTGACTGTTTCAGCGTAGGGAGAAAGACATGGCAGGAAAGCAGGAGTCAGAGGCTGAACCAATCAGCCATTGGTGCGGGTCACTTGATGCTGCAGGGCGCGTGCTGCCGTGCCAGTCACCTCCTGCCTTTCCTCCATGCTACTTATGCCCCAGGTATGTGCTCCCTTTGCCAGGCTCCTGACTGAGCGCTCTGCAGGCAGGGACACGTTATCTCTTTGGCACCCTTCACTACTGAATGATATGCAAACGGAGATGCTAAGTCGTTCTCATAAATATCCCACAATTCAGATCTTTTCTAGCTTGATAGAAGGCTCAGGGTAGAGGTTAAAAAAGAAACTGCCCTATGGGATGCTTGCTCTTTGGGAGGTGCAAGCACAGACACAAATGAAAACCCAGGAGTCAGAACATACTGGGTTGTGGTAGCTGGCTCCAGAGGTGCTGAAGTCAGGTGTGTGCCCTGCTCTAAAATGCTGTAGACGAAATCAAGGCCAAGCTTCTTTCTTTATTCTTAGCAGCTCCCTGGCTGATTTTAGGCAAAGGTCCTTGAACAGAAGCACCAGAATCTGCCCTTCCTTTCCTACCCCACCATCACTGGCCTCCCTAAGCCCACATTACTCATGGTGAGCTGACGGCCTGCTCCTTAACCACTGCCTGCGGGAGGTGACAGGGACCTTAGCCAGCTCGTGTGGGCGGATAATGACAATACCTGGTCTGTGAGAGTAAATGCCAGGGAAATGGGGGAGCTGCTGACCTCAGCAGTCAGCCCTGGGGGAAATCACATATCTCGAATTTTTCAGTTCTTTAACCTTTCTCTTGGGCTTCACCTTGGGGTGAAGGGCTCTTGCCTCGGTACACAAAGCTTCTCTTCAAATTCCAGCTTGTCAGGTGTACTTTGATCTGGAGCACAGAAACATGTGGAGGCAGAAGCTGTCTCCAGATTTGAGCAATGAAGGGCTGGGTCTTACAGAAACCCTCTGCTCCTGATCCAGAGGGAGGCAGACCCTTCCCTTCCCTTCCCTCCCCTCCTGAACTGCAGCGGGGAAATTACCACATCATATTCCTGGATTATTGCTTGGATATCCCCTGAAGCGTCAGAACTCAGCGAGAGCTTTTCATTAGCTTGTGGCTACAGAAATTACTGCTCATTAAATGGCCAATCATTTTCAAAATCCCAGAACAAATATTTGCACCTCAGGTGTAATTATGAAAGCAAAATGATTCAGGCACAAGGCACTCCTTCCTCAACCCTTTTTTCCTTCCTGGCTGCTCAGCATTGCCAGGCAAAGCCCAGAGTCCTGCCAGGACTCTGAGCGTGATGTGAGCGCCTGGAGATGCCACTCCGGCAGGGGCAGCAGGCTGCGGCATGTGTGCGTGCCGGCGTCTTCACCAGACCGAATCAGTGCCAATGAGAGACTGAGCACGAGTATCCTGTCTCCCTCTCTGCAGTCCAGCCCAACAGGCAGGAGGCTCAGTGCTGCTCCAGTCCTTCCCCTGAATGGGAACTCAGGCAGCAGCAGGCCATTTTTTGGAACCCCTTTTTCACTGTTTCACTTTCTTTTATCCCCCACCAGATTCTTGCTGCAACTGTCGAAAATGCCAACATCGTCTTACAGATTGATAATGCCAGGCTGGCAGCTGATGACTTCAGAACCAAGTAAGTCCAACGCCTTCGAGAGTTCTCATGAGAAGGGAGGGAAAAGCCATTCTGCTTAAGGCTTTCCTTGCTTCCTGCAACTGAGGTTGCTGCACCAGGTCACTGCTCACCAGAAGTGTGACATTTGGGAAGTATACATCTGTTCCTGGACACAGCATTGTCTGGACATTCCTGCATTGTGGAGAGCTGGGCATGCACATTTAATAAAAGATGCTTGGCAGAAATACGCCAAGGTGGGGAGGGAAACAACAGGAAAAAACCTGTATCAGCTGGGCTCCACGGTGCCACTGTGTGTGTGTGTGTTCCCAGGTTTGAGACCGAGCAGGCTCTGCGCCTGAGCGTGGAGGCCGACATCAACGGCCTGCGCAGGGTCCTGGATGAGCTGACCCTGGCCAGAGCTGACCTGGAGATGCAGATCGAGAACCTGAAGGAGGAGCTGGCCTACCTCAAGAAGAACCACGAGGAGGTGAGCACGGAGACAGGCTCAGACCGGGAGCTACAAAAAGTATCTTGTGCACAGTGGAAAGTGCTCAGATCAAATGTGCAGGCGTGTCTCTGCAATTAGGGCTGTCAGGAGACACTCGAGTGGGTAAGGAGAGGGAACCAATCCCTTCCAACAGAAACCCCAGGAGAAGGTCTGTGGGGTCCATTTGCTGGGTGCACATAAGAAATTTGTCATGATGGGAATACACGGATTTCACTGACGTGCATCTTGTGTCTCTTTTCTGCCAGGAAATGAATGCCCTGCGCAGCCAGGTGGGTGGAGAGATCAGCGTGGAGATGGATGCTGCTCCTGGAATCGACCTCACCAAGATCCTGGCTGAGATGAGGGAGCGCACCAAGGTGAGCGGGCTCGCCGGCAGCGCAGTGGGGAACGTGGGACCCGAGGCTGTGCCCGCTCGCCGGTGCTGTAAGAGCATGGGTTTGCCTTGTTGCAGACGGAAGAGCTGAACCGGGAGGTGGCCATCAACACGGAGCAGCTTCAGAGTGGCAAGACAGAGATCACAGAGCTGCGACGCACCATCCAGAGCCTGGAGATCGACCTGCAGTCCCAGCTCAGCACAGTACGAGGGGCTGGCTCCCTGCGGGGTGGGGAGCACGCAGGAGCGTGGGCCAGGGGACGCACGGGTGCTCCCATCCCTCCCGCCCTCCGTCCCCCCTGAACGTGTCCTTCTCCCCTGCACGCAGAAAGCGGCGTTGGAGGGCACCTTCGCCGACACAGAAGCCCGCTACGGCACCCAGCTGGCCCAGCTGCAGGGGCTGATCACCAGCGTGGAGGAGCAGCTGGCCGAGCTGCGGTGTGACATGGAGCGCCAGAACCATGAGTACAGGGTCCTCCTGGACGTCAAATGCCGCCTGGAGCAGGAGATCGCCACGTACCGCCGGCTCCTGGAGGGCGAGGACGCCCAGTACGTAGAGGGACTTCTCTTGGGAGGGCACATCGGGAGGGGACGGGTCATACACACAAAATACGCTGGCTGGGGACTCAGTCCGATTGCAGCTTTCAGGGTTCATCTTTATGTTCATACCAGCCACGGACGCCCAGTGGCTCCGTCCCTGGTTCTGTCTGCAGTGCGATGCTGTAACGGGCACCTTTCCCTGCTGGAAGGGGCAGTGGCCCCTCTGCCCTCCAGGAGACACTGAGCGGAGCAGTGGCTTTAGCAACCGCTAGGAGACTTTTCTGTTTTTCTCCTGCCTGAATACAGAGCCTGTGTAGCAACAAAAAAGGATTTTATCCCTAACTTCTCTTTGTTTTTCTCCTTCTCTTGCAGCATCTCTTCCCAGTACTCCTCCGCTATGTCCTCACACTCGGGCAGAGATGGTAAGAACCTATCTTGCTACATACGTTTTTAACAAACCACTTTGAGACCTGCTTTTAGAGCAGCTGCCGAACTGATCAGTGAAAATCCCTCCTCGGGCGCGCTGTGCCGCCTCGCTGGCTGAACCAGAGTGACAGCAGTCAAGGGAGCTTGTGCGCATCTTACAACTGCTGACCACAGGAAAAAGCTGTCAGGGCGGGAAATGCCTTGCACTGCTTTACCAGAGGAATGATTTGCCCTAAACGGGCCTTGTGTTTGAGCAGGCAGTGTTCTGGCTTTACACAGACATGGCAAATCAAGCGACACCATACGTTTAGGGAGCGTGCCTTTTGCCTTCTCGAGCCTTCCCATCAGCCTGGCTCTTCCCTCTTCCTAGACAGCGTAAAACAGCATTTTCCAGTACCTCGTGGAATTTCCCACGTCTTCCTTAAGAACGTGCAACATCTGATACTGTGTTAAGAAATTTCCCTCCTTCCTGTCCCCTGAATAATTGTCCTCCACTTTCCTTTTGCAGTCATGACATCTTCCCGTCAGGTCCGCACAATCGTTGAGGAGGTTCAGGACGGGAAGGTGGTCTCCTCCCGGGAGCAGGTTGCGCTCACCACTCGCTAGGAGGGCAAGCAGCTCCGCGGACCCTCGACCCCAGGCTCCAGAGAGCGGCGAGCTGAACCAAGCCTTGTCCGAGGCCGTATGTGATGGGGTTGTGTCACAGAAAGCAGTCAGCTTCATTCATCTGCTCTCCTGCCTGTTTTACCCTAATTTCACGCGGGTGCCATTGTGCACTCTGTACACATTTAATAAAGCTTTTTAGCTTGTTCATGCAACTGCAGACTTGTCTGTCACTGATACATGATCTCTCAAAGCCTCAGGGTTGTGTGTTCGTGCCAGGGAAAGTCCTAAGAAACCACAAGAAGAAGCCAGCGAGAGGAGGGGAATGGAGGGATATGGGTTCCACTTGGACCAAAAATAATTTGAGACAGCTTTTTCTACTGAACTCATTGCTCGTAAATACATGGGACTGACTGAGACATAAACCAGATAAGTTTGATACAAAATGAAGGCAATGATGGAAGGATGATGCCTGAGGCCAACGTGCCACACAACTGCTACTTAAAGCCAACAAAATAAAGCTCAGTTCTCTAACTCGTGGTATCACAAAGAATCACCTTCTCCTGTAAGCTGAACTTCAGCAAGACTACTACTGCCACGTGGGCCATCCCGAGACACGAGCACAACATCAGACTGGTTGGCAAATCTTATACATACATGCCTTCTGTCTTATTTGGCTGTCTTTAAATCACACCATTAGGCACATTGTATGAAAACTTTATACAGATATTTTCACGCCGCCTAAGGGCTGCATTAACAGGTTCTAAAGTAACCATTGCTTCATCTGCAGAAGGATGAGTAGCAATAACTTTTTATCACTATGGCATCTAGTAGGTCACTGCTGAAATCCTTCTTGAAACACACGAGCTAGTTATCGTATGTCAACAACGTACAAGCTGCCATTCAGGATTCGGTGACGCAGCTCGTGCACTGGCGGCCAGGTACAGATCTGCCTCTCCCACTTACTTCTTGGGGAGTGACAGAGGAACCAAAGGATGCTGTGCTGGCCGCACGTCCACCGAAGGTGTCTGGTGGGCTAGACAGAAGAGGGAATCATTTTAGACCCCAAAGCCTGATGGAATCACTTAGATCCAACTTCATGCTTTCTCGCCAGCCGTACTTGGGAGCTCTGTCCAGTCTTGGACCATGGCCTCACGTTCGTCACCCACCTCAAGAATACAGATTTGGGCCTTAGACAAAAGGAAAAGGTAACATTTTGCAGTAAATCTTGTCTGCAAAGCTTGTCTCTTGCTTGCATGCTTGTGTCTTGGATTACTATTGATGATTCATTCTCCCTCAGCCAAATGCACGAAGGCATTACAGCCCTTACCCGACAATTACAAAGGCACGCTCCCCGGCCTGAACAGAATCTTGAAAAGAGTTGATGATTTCATGCTGGGCATGACAAGACAAGCAAAGGAGGAGGAAGGTGATCGAAGAAGTGGGGAACCTGCCAGGTCTTTCCAGCAAAGGGAGTGTGAAGAGATGTTATCAGTCTGTATTATTGTTTAACAATTACAGAAAAGGGTAGGAAATGAAATGCAGACCAGAGTGCAGAGTTCATTGACTGTATCGTGCTTTTCTCTTTGCTGGAATAACAGACCTTCCTTGCAGAAATAGGAAGTCTTCCCAACTGAGCTAGAGCCATCTGAAAAATAAAAACTAGATCAAGCAATAATGTACTTTAGCATCAAGCTGTCTTAGACTTCTTGGCAATGGGCAAGGGTGCAGGCTGCAAATTCTGATTAAACTGCAACTGTGCTGGGTTTTTTGCCATCAGAAGAGAGTTGTTATATTTCACTTGTAAACGGCAGCTTTTCAGCTCTAGAGCCATCTGCAGAATGCCCCGAGTATATGAACACAGAAAGGCTTTCTGAAAACCACAAACATTATGTGTTAAATGGAAGTAGGACACTAAAAGAAGATGCCAGTCCAAGAGTAGCTGGCTCTGCTGGCAGCACAGCAAGGCACGGCCACTTCTGCAGCCAAAAGGACACAAGGGAGAGATTTATCAGGCAGCCTGTTCAGTTACCTTTGATACCTGTCACCCAGTGCCAAGATGTCCATTTGCATCCGGCAGCAGGAACGGCCTGAAATGAAGACCTGAGAAGAGCTGGGAGAGCTGATGGAAAGCCCAGGTTTGTAATCAGTTGATTCAGTTCCACTGGGAGGATCTTACTAGTTTTCCTTATCCACCAACATATATTTGCATCAATGAAAAAGGCTTAAATTCCGCATACGGCTCCACATAACTCTATTACCACAAACAAGAGAGAAGTCCAAGCTCAGCACAAGTAATCACTGTGTTACATTACAGTGCCCTGAAGAAGGAAACTGCCACATAACTATTAGGCAATTTATTTTCTATTATTGCTCTTCGCTACACACAGTTTGTATCTGTGAAACACAGACAAATTATCACACCCAAGAGATGGACAAACACTTTCTGGAGCGCATTTTTCAAATTTTCTGCAAGATGCAAGCACAACCAGAAAAGCCTCGTTAGGATTCAGCAAGGAGTTACAGAAGCAAGTCCTCAGTGAATAATGGTGAAACTTCAATGGACAACAAAACAAAAAAGGAAAACCAAGAATGTCCTTGAAAGGTATTTCATCAGCTGAGACACAGAGGGAAATATAGAGGATGTGCCAGTGTCAATATATAATAGCAAGAATACTTACAATGAATAATACTTAAAATAACTATCATGTTTCTGGTCTTTAAAGCTCCATGTTTGCATCAGGCAGTTGTTTTTACAGTGCCCTTGAGAAGGAGGATTACTGTTATTATTGTTTCTCTCCTACAAAGCATGAAATTGAGACTCGGAGAAGCTGAATGATTTGCCTAGAGCGATCTGCGAAGCTGGGATCAGAACCCTGGCGCGCCTGGTGTCATCAGCGAGATGCAGATCGGTCTCGGTACAGCCAATACCATGCAGAAAACAAGTGGAATGACAATTACGTCAATAGCTAGATAAGCAAATACTTTGCAAATAGCAAACACAAGAATTTTCCATAGGTGAAACACTGAAATTTAGCCGACAATGAGCAGATGGGAGCCAGGGCTGCTGGGAGTTCTCACCGCTGTACCAGGGCCTCCTGATAAGGCTCTCCAAGCCAGAGGCCAGCCCTGCACAGGTGAGGGACACAAACAAGCCCAAGCCCGGGCCCTTCAGGTGCCAGACGGTGCCTGGCTCTCAGCTTCTCTACCCTGGCACTCCCTGGTGGTTGCTTCAAGCCCAAACCGGAGCTCGGGCTGGCAGTCACGCCGGGTGATGGACGGCAGCCTGGACTCCGGCAGGGACTCAGGGTTCGGTGTCGTGTCTGAGTCACCAAGCCTCCAGGGAAGTTCTCTTGGATGTGACAACAGCTAGTGACTCAGGGAATATTTGTAATAACGTGAAATGCTGGATCTCCTTCTTGGGGGCACATTATACTTTCTGTACTTCATATGCATTAGCTTAAGAAACAGTCTTAAGCCTTAAAATATCCTGAGACTACCAAAGGACTTCCCTCTGGGGAAATCTAATCTTTCTTTCTCATTTTCATCGCTCTTTTGAACCTGATCATTTTGTGCGGTAGAACAACCCTGGGAAATAACGCCACAGTGCCCGTCCTCTACCACCATCCTGCTCTCCCCTATAAAGCACAGCACAAGACACAAATGTAAAGCTGAAGTATAATTCCTTTCGTTCTATTTTTTACAAAGCTGATTAAATGGGAGCAGCACCTTTGCCTAGGGGAGGCTTTTCTGCTCATTTGTTACTTGAAGTAGTAATTTTTCCTCGTCAGGCCTGCACTGCTGTTCCCGAAATGGCTGCCGGGGGATCCTGGTAAGCCATCATTTCTCTCCTGCTCTTACTCCCTTGGGGCACAACGCTGCCTGCGAGGGGCTCCCAGGTCAACTGAGGGCGGCTCCGCAGAGGCATTGCCCGTGGCTGGCTACAAGACTGTGGTGAGCAAATTTCCGTCTGTAGACTCCAGGCTGGAAGTCAATAAAAGTTAATTCTGGAGAAAGCCTTCCATTATGCATGTAGATACTGTCATTAACAGATCTCCTCATAAAAAAATTAAAATATCTTTTAATAAAATGAGGACTGTAACTGCTGGCAGGTCTTGAGGTACGCTCCAGTGTAAAAACAAGAGCTGATTTTAATAAAAATTTAAAATTTTGGAACAGAAAAAAGCTACTATGAAGAACACGACAATCCAGTACAATCAAGAGTGAAATTATTATTCTCCTTTACAAAAACTGTAGAAATTCTAATCACATTTGGCTGCAGAGACCTATGGTAAGGTCTGAAGTTCAAAAAGTAGGGAAGAAGTGTGGACATCTCTGCTTAGTTTTCAATAATTGAAAAAACCTCCCACTCTTTAACATTTTAATTTTTCTCATTGAAAAATGAAGGACTATCTATTTCTCAATTAAATGAAATCAAATGTTAGCTCAGCATTATTTCTACAATTCTCCGATGGAAAAAAGACAGATTCTGACCAGTCCTGCTCCCGATTCGCTCCCGCTCCAGCAGCAAGAGCGGCCCAGGGCTGCTGCTGGGCTCCGTGGCAGAGGAGCCTGATCCTGACCACGCCGCAGCCTCTGCTCGGGATCTCGCCACCCGTGAGGCACGCCATGGCCCCGTGGCACAGGCTTCGCTTGCTAATTAGGGATGTAACAAAGGGTGGACGTACACAGAACCCACACCACATTTAAGGTGCTCTGGATTTGCAGTGTCAAGATAAAATCAAGACTAATGAACTTACCCAATGGCATAAGCAATATTTCTGAAAGAGGCTGCACCTGACGCATCCTGTATGTGATGTGTCCAGGTGACCTGGATGCCAAAACCAATGCTGAACAGCACATGGCTGAAAGTCAGCCAATATTAGCATGGCTGTATTAATATTATTAATAAAATGAAAGATTCAGATGACAAAACATTTTAATTATTTCCCTTCTTCCTCAATTCAGCATTCCAAGACTAAAAAACAGGTTTAATATCTTTGTTAAAACGATCTTTTCTGGTGTCTTTTCTAAATTTAACACATTTCCCCTAGATTATACTTGGAGAATTTCCATGGTGCTGGCTGGAACTGGGTCAGAACTATACAGGATTGGGCTGCTTCTGAAATTCTCCACATTACTGTTTTAGAAATCTTATGAAACATCTTATGTAGCTGCCCTCTCTTGGCAGTGGATATTCAGAGTTAACTGCAACATTTGGTACTCAGGAAATATCCTCTTCTCTTTTATTTTGGATCAATATTTGAATATTTTGTCTACCCTCGAAAGCAGCAAAACAAATACCAGGGAATCTCTGGTCTGAAAGGAGATGCTTTGATGCAGGCAGGAGAAAGAGAAGTAACAAATAATCGCTGGTACGCTCAAGTGCACTCCGAGAGAAGAGCATTTCGAGGTCCAATGACCCAGACCCCGGCAGGTTCTCACTCAGCCGACGGCCACGCACAACGGGACAGACCCTGACTGCCGTGCGCTTGCAGAGAGGCAGCACGGTCCAGGGTGGTCTCCTGGCTCTGCTCCCAGGGACCGCAAAGCAGCTGAAGGAGCGGGCACCCTCGCTTCTGGCCACAGAGGGGTCGGACAGGCTCCATCAGATAGGACGGCTTTCCCACAGCTTTCACTTTCCGGGTAGACTCGCCCACGTCAGGGATGGATAATTGCTATGGTGTTTCATTCCCCGGGCACTCTCGGGTATCGTCGTTTTTTGTGTCACTGTTGTCATCACAAGTCAGACCTGATGATTCAGGAAGTAACATTTTTGATGTAGTTTTGAAACACGCTTCTGTTAACCAAAGCATCTTTCTGTTGTGGGATTTCTGGAGACAAACGCCTTCGGGGAAATATTTCCAGTTGAAAAAAAAAATAGTACTAGCCAGGTCACAAGGAGGAAGAATAAACAGCCCTTCTCCGGCGGCAACTTCCACAAGGAATGGTATAAATAGAGGAGCGTGGGGACAGAGGAATCACAATCGGGTCCCGCAGCGATCTGTGCAGCTTGCCTTGGGCTCCGAGTTGGATCCTCGCGCTCTCACTATGAGCTGTGCCGTCAGGCAGGTCGTTACTACCTGTTCCCAAGGCAGGAGCAGTGCGGGCAGCTCTGCGGCTGGTAGTGGAATAAAGGTCTCCTCCGCCTCCTCGGGAAGACACGCTGCCTACGACTTAGGTGGTGCGGTTGGCAATTTTTCTGGTGGCAGTATAAGCGAGGGATTGCTTGTGAAGCAGCTGAGCACCGGCAGTGCTACTGGTGGGAGCTTTGGAGCTACCCAGAGGGCTTGTTCTACCCTCGGATTCAGCGGTGGAGGCATCTGCACTCGAGGCGTTGGTGGTGGCTTCACCAGGGCCAGTGCTGGTTGCGGTGATGGGATCTTATTCGCTAACAATGAAAAGGCGACGATGCAGAACCTCAACGACCGCCTGGCCTCCTACCTGGACAAGGTGCGACTCCTGGAGGGAGACAATGCCGACCTTGAGTGCAAGATCAGGGAGTGGTACGCCAAGGTAGGGCCCAGCTGCGAACCACGGGACTACAGCTGTTTTCATAAGGAAATCGAAGACCTTCAAAACCAGGTAAAACATTGCTTTTCAAGAAAATTCTAATATTTCTTTGGGTTTTGCTTTCACGTGTGGCTAGAGCAATGTCAAATGGCAGGGGCAATAGCTATGTCTCTGGAGGTGCCCACAAAGCAATAGTTTCTATGAAACGGGCTGTTTGAGGGAGGAGGACACTGCATTTACAGAGAACTGGAGTTTCAGCACAGCCCGCTCTGCCAAGCTGGCACACGGGTTTCCCCCCTGTACTGTCATCTAACTGGTTAATAATCCCAATACATGGAATCATTACAAAGTAAGTGGGCTGCATTACCCCAGGTGGGTGTTTCCTCCAGGGCCTTCTGTAGCCAGAGGAAGCCACAAGCCCGAATCTCTCTCCTGCATTTTCCTTTCCAGATCCTCTGTGCAGCCATGGAGACTAACAAAATCCTTCTGAATATTGATAACAACAGGATGACTGCCGATGACTTCCGAGTGAAGTGAGTACGGTCCTGCTGGACTGAGGGGTTCACACTGCCCGTGGAAGGGTAGGTGACCGATGGTGATGGGGAAACCCTAACGCTCTGCTTGTCGTGCTGCAGATCTCTGCGAAAGGCACGGATACCATCGACAATGCTCATAGCATTGCATGCCTGAAGTGAAAGAAGAACTTGGTCCTACATTTTTTCCCCACAAACTCAACTCAAGGGCTTGCCATGGTTTACTGACATGCTGACCTTTCTTTGTTGCCTGTGGCTTAAGGTACGAGACTGAATGTGGTCTCCGGCAAAATGTGGATGCAGACATTTGCAACTTGCGCCCCGTCCTGGATCAGCTGGCCAGCTGCAAGACCGACCTGCAGCTGCAGTGTGAGGCTTTGACTGAAGAGATGTGTTGTCTCAAGACGAACCACGAGGAGGTTAGATCGCCCCTTACTCTTAGAGAAATAAGAAGAAAGGAGAAGAAAAGTCCCCCCGAGTGTGAATATTACTGATACGGTGCACGTATTCTCTGCAGGAAATGAACTGTCTGAGGAAACAGGCGACCGGAGATGTGAGTGTGGAGGTCAATGCCTGCCCTGGCCCAGACCTGAGGAAGATCCTGGAGGATCTGAGGTGCCAGTATGAAACACTGATGGAGCGTAACCGCAAAGAGACTGAGCAGTGGTATGCCTGCAAGGTACTATATACATGCAGAGCTGTACCCTGCTCTGCCTCTTTGGGGAAAAGGGAAAAATGAGAGACTAAGAACACTTACTGGAGATGTCTTAATATCAGCAATTCTGTCATGGGTGTGCTCAGCATCTAATTGTACTGCCCACTTTCAGTGCTCTTCTGTTCATGGCAGAGGGGCCACCGCATGGTGTTACAGGGTCACAATGGAATAAATGGGGGGGCTTTAGATTTGGAAATGCTCAGGTGCACTGCAGGGCATGTGAAGCAGTGTGGGGAAGCCCCTGCCACAACGAGATGCTGTGGCGCAGTGAGGAAAGGGCTTTTCTGACTTTGCAGGTGGAGGAGGTGAATCTGGAGGTCATCACAAGCAGCCAGGAGATCGAGTCAAGCAACAAACAGGTCACTGAGCTGAGACGTCAGCTGCAGGCCTTGGAAATCAATGTACAAGCCCAGCTCACCATGGTAGGTGATGCCTCTACGATTCACATCTCAGATTCCCCAGCTCTTTCTAGAAAGCTGCGTGACCAGAGTCGCACCTGTAACCCGACGGGCCAAGCCTGCAGCATAGCCAGGTACCTTTGTGTTGTTTCCATTCTCAGAAAGAAAACCTGGAATCCTCTTTGGCAGAAACCGAATGTCGCTACAACAAATACCTGGCTGAGCTACAGAGCCAGATCTCCTGCGTGGAGCAGCGGCTGGCTGAAATACGAGCAGAAATGGAGTGCCAGAACCAGGAATACAAGACCCTCCTGGACGTCAAATGCCGCTTGGAGCAGGAGATTCAGACCTACCACTGCCTGCTGGAGGGGGGACAGCACGACATCATGTACGCAGACTACAAACAGACCCGCGCGCAGTAAAATCTCTATGCTTTGACTTACAGGGGTATGAAAATTCGTGATACAAATGGTAAAAGCAACACTGTGGTGAGGAACCAGTACTGACCTGTTACCAGACAGGGCCTAATAGCAAACGACGAGGCACTTGAGATGGCTCTGATAAATGGCCAGAGCGCAAGCCAGAGACCATTCCCCCTCCTGGGCCAGCAACAGCAGCGGGGAGAGGCCCCCAGCGCTGCCCCAGCCACCTGGGCACGGCGCAGCATCGCAGCTCGTTAAAGGGCTATTTTCACTCTGAGCTGGGCAAGGTCTTTCATAAACGCTGTCATTTAACTGAACTTTATTGGCTTTCACAGCTAGACAGGATTAGGGACTGGCAGTTAAATTAACTGAAACAATAAATTATCCAAACATTTTCAGTTTCACACAGCAATTTTAATTAAAGTTTTGGGAAATTTAATTTGTATGCAAAGCAGTTGGCTCTTCCCTGCCTCCCATTGCCTGAGATTTTGAAACAGCGAGGCATGCTGTTAAGCTCATAAATGGCTGCATACACACACAACCGGCCTGAGCACCCACCTGCTCCATTAGTTTGGAAAAAGAGGTATTTTAATGGTGGTGCCCTGAGGTGGGTTCTTCTGGACTCTCCAGTCCTAAATTAGTTACATGAAAAATCAGCTCTTGTTCCAAAATGCCAGTTGCAATGGATGAAATGACACTGTTCGAGCTTGTCTCAGAGCCTCGGGTAATCCTGAGTGTATCAAGATGGAAAAGCAGTAGCTGTCAACAGGCAGGCAGGAGGGAGGATGTGCTAATTGCTGCTGTAATGACCCTCGTGGTTCGAAGGGGAAATGTCCAAGAGTGACTGAAGAGACACAGCTAAAGCCAATGCCCGGAGTAGCTCCGGGGCACGGGCAGATCTCCGGGATGTGAATGTCCGGGGCTTTGGTTACCAGAACTGTCTGCTTTCCACAGAGGGTCAGTGGGAAGAGGAGTCCCTGCAACATCAGCTGGAAGAAGTGGTGGGCTTAAAGCCAGCCTGTGTCAGCCATGCCTGCCCTAAGCCTGTGCGCTCTGGGTGAGGATGCGTAAGGTGAGGTGTCCTCTAGAAGCCTGTGAATGTGACCGTGAGTTGCTTCTTTAGTCCTTCTATGTGCCTGGGGAGGAGGAGGATGAGAGATCTCCAGGCTTTTCTGGGTGGTGAAGAAGGGCTGGAGACGTACTCTTGTTCCTGGAGAGAGGCCGTGCAGGGAGTCGGGCATGCAGGATCATGGTTGTGGCTGTCGGTGGTAGAGCACAGGGATTAATCGAGCTATGGTAGAAAGTGGTGGCAAGGGATGCAGCCATGGAGCATTTATAAATTTATGCATAGAAAATATGTTTGACACTGGGGGGTAACCAGTAGTAAATGTGTTTAAATAAGACGACTTTCAGCAGAACACGAAAATGAGGAACTGGCAGGGGGAATCAGTCAGCCACGAGTCTTTCAACAAGTATATACAATTAGGCAAGCTAGGGAGAAGAGGGAAGAGAAAGGTCAGTACCAGAGCAAGGGGGATGCAAGAGAAAGGCATGGTATTGCAGAGGAAACCCCTGACAAAGTCATGCTCCTGCTCTCCCTCGGCAGGTCGCTGCAGACAAGAGCTTCCCTGCCAGCCCTGCTGCACATCCCCCTGAGGAGGTCTCTCGAAGAACAAACCGTTTGGAAAAAGCAAGGCAAAAATAACCTGACAGTTCTCAGTTCTGCTTATAGCACCAGTTGGAAGGGACTGTGCAGAACGGCTGCCTTCCTGCCGCCCACGCTGCCTGCTGTCTTCATCCTCCGATACTGCTTTGATCCAGTCACCGGTCTTCACTTGGGCTAATCTGTTTCGCAGTCAGCTGTCTAACAACTACCAAAGCTTGTCTCTAATAAAACTTTGCTATTACTGACACAGCCTTGAACCGGAGAAATAATTTCTACAAGTAAATTAACATACAAGTATTTAAAAAATTGTTACGCAGATAGTTATATTGATCCTTTGGTTAGAAATCCACCTTTGATCTATATCCACAAAGCAATCATTACAAGGGAAAAAGAAAAAGAAGCAATGTTCCCATCTGCCGCGCTGCTCCCGCTGAATTAAGTGGCTGCAGGATGGTGGTGGAGGGGCAGCTGCAGGAGGATGGAGGAGAGGGACCAGTGGCTGCTGTGGAAAGGGACATTGCTGCCGGAGGAGGAGGCATAAGCTAAGACATGAAGCAGAAGGTGATGAGGAAAGAAACATTCAGGGAGGCTGGACAGAGTGCAGGGAAGGAGTTTCAAGACAGTCTGACTGACAACCTTATATCGAAAGAGACTTCTGAGTGAAAATTGAATTTTCATTAAAGTAGGCATAAAATAAAATAAAATAAAATAAAATAAAATAAAATAAAAT